ATTATCAGCTTTGTGAAAGCTTGTTAGATCATATTTAATTTAAACTGCATGTGTAGGAGCTTAACAACCCTGCTGTAGACAGTTTAAAAAATATCAAAAGTTGATTTAAGTGACAAGGATACCAAAAAATGAATCCTTGCCAATTTGAGAAGGTAAATCATACAGTTTGAAGCATTTCCCTTCAGAAACACAGTTTTGCACTGCACCAAATAGTTCATACAGTAGTATTTCCATAAAAATCTTAATTTTTTTTTTCTGTACATTTATGTTCAGTCATGCCTCTGGATTTGCAGAGTTTGTTCCTTGAGACCCCACAATTATGCAAAAAATTTGCAACCCCAAAGTAGGGTGTGGCATGTGTACCAGTGAAAGCACCAGTCATAAACACAAAATACACAGCCAACTGCCTCTGTTACAAGTGTGTAGATGACAGCATACAGTTCTGTGCAATCTATTAAGTCTTCTCCACTAAGCACAGATTATCAACTCATCATACATAGATCATGAAAATAAATTTGCAGATAGTGCAGTTTTGACAAGAAATGTGGAATTTTCAATAAAGATTGGGAAAGGTGTTCAGACTTGTTTTTATTTTATTTTCTCAGTTGCTTTTGGATAAAATAGGCTGATGTTTGGTTTGGAAATTCATGGTAACGTTTCAAATTTGGAAAAAAAAAAAAATGTCAAATCACAGTACAAGTGGGGCTTGAACCCATGGCAGACGTCTCATACATCTGTGATTTATTTGCAGTAGTGTTATTACTACTATGTGAGTAGAACCTTGGTTAAGGCTGTCTTGTTTTGAATAGTCAAACATCCACTGGACCTGTAAATATTGGCAGTTACAGGGAAGTTATATATAGCTCATCAATCCCTACAAACGTTTTTCATACTTCAAAATGATTATAAATAAATATAGGTGTTTCACTTCATGTAATCTGTTAGGTTTCTTGGAGGTTAGAGGAAATGGTTAAAGAATAATAGTGAGTACTTGTATACAGTGGACCCCCGGTTATCAGCAGCAATCCATTCCAGCTCAGCCTAAAAGCGAAATGGCTGAAAAGTGAAATATTTCCCACAAGAATTAATGTAAATACATTTAAATACAATTGAATCATATATGTGAACAGTATTTAGATAAAGGTAGGGAAGTTTTTATTGCATTTATGGATTTAGAAAAGGCATATGATAGTGAATAGAGGAGCAATGTGGCAGATGTTGCAAGTACAGTAGACCCCCGGTTAACGATATTTTTTCACTCCAGAAGTATGTTCAGGTGCCAGTACTGACCAAATTTGTTCCCATAAGGAATATTGTGAAGTAGATTAGTCCATTTCAGACCCCCAAACATACACGTACAAACGCACTTACATAAATACACTTACATAATTGGTCGCATTCGGAGGTAATCGTTATGCGGGGGTCCACTGTATATGGAATAGGTGGTAAGTTATTAAATGCTGTAAAGAGTTTTTATGAGGATAGTGAGGCACAGGTTAGGGTGTGTAGAAGAGAGGGAGACTACTTCCCGATAAAAGTAGGTCTTAGACAGGGATGTGTAATGTCACCATGGTGGTTTAATATATTTATAGATGGGGTTGTAAAGGAAGTAAATGCTAGGGTGTTCGGGAGAGGCGTGGGATTAAATTTTGGGGAATCAAATTCAAAATGGGAATTGACAGTTACTTTTTGCTGATGATACTGTGCTTATGGGAGATTCTAAAGAAAAATTGCAAAGGTTAGTGGATGAGTTTGGGAATGTGTGTAAAGGTAGAAAGTTGAAAGTGAACATAGAAAAGAGTAAGGTGATGAGGGTATCAAATGATTTAGATAAAGAAAATTTGTATATCAAATTGGGGAGGAGTAGTATGGAAGAAGTGAATGTTTTCAGATACTTGGGAGTTGACGTGTCGGAGGATGGTTTTATGAAGGATGAGGTTAATCATAGAATTGATGAGGGAAAAAAGGCGAGTGGTGCGTTGAGGTATATGTGGAGTCAAAAAACGTTATCTATGGAGGCAAAGAAGGGAATGTATGAAAGTATAGTAGTACCAACATTCTCTTATATGGGTGTGAAGCTTGGGGGGTAAATGCAGCAGCGAGGAGATGGTTGGAGGCAGTGGAGATGTCCTGTTTAAGGGCAATGTGTGGTGTAAATATTATGCAGAAAATTCGGAGTGTGGAAATTAGGAAAAGGTGTGGAGTTAATAAAAGTATTAGTCAGAGGGCAGAAGAGGGGTTGTTGAGGTGGTTTGGTCATTTAGAGAGAATGGATCAAAGTAGAATGACATGGAAAGCATATAAATCTATAGGGGAAGGAAGGTGAGGTAGGGGTCATCCTCGAAAGGGTTGGAGAGAGGGGTAAAGGAGGTTTGTGGGCAAGGGGCTTGGACTTCCAGCAAGTGTGCGTGAGCGTGTTAGATAGGAGTGAATGGAGACGAATGGTACTTGGGACCTGACGATCTGTTGGAGTGTGAGCAGGGTAATATTTAGTGAAGGGATTCAGGGAAACCGGTTATTTTCATATAGTCGGACTTGAGTCCTGGAAATGGGAAGTACAATGCCTGCACTTTAAAGGAGGGGTTTGGGATATTGGCAGTTTGGAGGGATATGTTGTGTATCTTTATATGTGTATGCTTCTAAACTGTTGTATTCTGAGCACCTCTGCAAAAACAGTGATAATGTGCGAGTGTGGTGAAAGTGTTGAAATGATGAAAGTATTTTCTTTTTGGGGATTTTCTTTCGTTTTTGGGTCACCCTGCCTCGGTGGGAGACGGCCGACTTGTTGAAAAAAAAAAACAATTAATCCGTTCCAGACACCCAAAAATATTAACAAACAATTTTAATAATTAAATCAGTATTACATACATTTCATTGAAGACACTTGTTGGCTTCTGGAAGATAGGGAGGATTTATTGTTTGTAAGGGGAATCCCCCTCCACAATGACTTCAGGTAACAAGTCCCTCTCTGGGGTTACTTCTCTTCTTTGTCTTTTAGTGCCACTAGGACCAGTTTGAGTCACTGCACAGCTGTCACACAAAATAACTGTCCAGAGAGGTCTGTTTCTGGCATCTCCTTAAGATTTCCCTGAAGTGGGACGAGGTTTTGTCACATGTTGCAGATATGGCTTGTTTCAGCTTGAGGTGAGGCAGTGACTGTTGTGGTGAAAGAGTGGCAGGATGGAAGTGATTGTTGATTTGTTTTTCTCGTACATTTTGGCAAGTTCCAGCACCCGCACACCATTCGTATTTTTCAATAACTTCTCTTAAATTCCATCGTGTTTCTCACTTTACCAAAGGAACTTTGCTAGGAACTTTCTTTGGGGCCATGGTTACTTACTTTGCAGTTGCACTTAATCAAAAACCACCAAAAACAATGGATGTATGACAAAATGTTTGGATGAATGAACAGAAGCTTCCTCACTTGCCCAGAGAGACAGGCAAGTGGCTGGGCCGGCGGGTTTGACGCGTCCCATACGGCCAATAAGCAAAATAACGGCTGATAAGCGGAAGCCGAAAAACCGGTCTATAACCGAGTTGGCCAATAACCGGGGGTCCACTGTATTAACTAATTGTGTAGGGCGAGTTATATGGCAGAGGTATTAATTTTGAGATTTAGTGGTTTCTTTTAGATTAGCTTTCCAAAGGCAGGATATAGCGAGGAAATAAGGCATTGAAAGGTAAGCAGAATAAAATAAGAGAATTTTTTTTTAACATGTTGGCCGTTTCCCACCGAAGCAGAAAGGAAGTAAAAGCTATAATCATTCAGCACTTTTACCATCACTCGTACATAATCGCTGTCTTTGCAGAGGCACTCTGATACAACAGTTTAGACGCCCTACCAAACTGCCAATATCCTAAACCCCTCTGAAGTGCAGGCATTGTAGTTCCCATTCGACTTGTCTGGCTAACCGGTTTCCCTGAATCCATTCACAAAATATTACCCTGCTCACACTCCAACAGCTCGTCAGGTCCCAAAAGCCATTCGTCTCCATGCACTATCTAACACGCTCATACACACTTGCTGGAAGTCCAAGCCCCTTGCCCACAAAACCTCCTTTACCCCCACCTCCTTCCAACCTTTTCAGGGACAACCCCTATGCCTGCCTTCCTTCCCCAACAGATTTATATGCTTTCCAAGTCGTTCTACTGTGTTCCAATCTCTCTAAATGACCAAACCACCTCCAGCCCTATTCAGCCCTGATAGGGCTGACAAGTCACTTCCTTGCAATTAACTCCCAAATCATGGCCCCCCGGTTAACGAACTTTTTTCATTCCAGTAGTATGTTCAGGTGCCAGTACTGACCGAATTTTTTCCCATAAGGAATATTGTGAAGTAGATTAGTCCATTTCAGACCCCCAAACATACACGTACAAACGCACTTACATAAATACACTTACATAATTGGTCGCATTTGGAGGTGATCGTTAAGCGGGGGTCCACTGTATCTGAAAACATTAATTTCTTCCATATTTCCTCCCTCCAATGTAATATCCAATTTTTCTTTATCTAAATTGTTTGATACCCTCATCACCTTACTCTTGTCTGTATTCGCTTTCAACTTTCTACCTTTATACACCCTCCCAAACTCGTTCGCTAACCTTCGCAACTTTTCTTTAGAATCCCCCAAAAGCAGAGTATCATCAGCAAAAAGTAACAGCTCCCATTTTGTATTTGATTCCCCATAATTTAATCTCGCCTCTCTCCCCAACACCCTAACATTTACTTCTTATACAACCCCATTTATAAATGTTAACCATGGTGACATTACACATCCCTGTCTAAGACCTACTTTTACTGGGAAGTAATCTCCCTTTCCTACACATACTAACCTGAGCCTTACTTTCCTCATACTAACTCTTTACAGTATTTAGTAACTTACTACCTATTCCATACACTTGCAACATTTGCCACATTGCTCCCCTATCCACTCTATATGATTGAAAAATTAAATTCATACAAACATGCTCGTCAAATAAAAATTTGAATATTTTCTCAGAGTGAAGTGGGACCAAATGACACAGAAAAGGATATTGCTCTTAGGGAACGGTTAAAGTTCCAGGAAGAAGAAATTTCCCGCCTTTCCATATTGCATGAAGAGCTGCAGGCAAAGACCATCGAATGTGAACTACTAAAGAAGCAGCTTTCAGATCTGAAAATCACTGGAGGCAGTCAGGTAAGAGTATTTGCAACATTGTCTATAATATACATTACCAGTTACTTAATGCTGCATCTATATATGGTTAGAACTTTGCATGAGCACACCTTTTTAAGCCTATTATCTCCTCTTGCAATGTTAATTTTTTCATTTTAACCATATCTTTTATGGTTTAGTCCTCACTTGTATTATTTCTGAAATTTTATAATGATGCATATGAAATGCTTTTCATTCTTATTCTTAAATCTCTCTGGCATGTAGCCATTACAGGTGGCCTACAGCACTGCCAGCTCAAAAAATTCTCGTCGTACCTATGTGAAACCAAGATCCATTGAGAAAGCAGAGGTAATTGATGCACCGTTATCGAATCTGAAGAAAAGCAACTGATGAAGATCCAAAGGATGATCCTGACTGGTGCAAAACTCCACTGTTTCGAAAAATCAAACAGATAACGTAATTTTCTTAGTTGCTAACCTGGTCAATTAGCTTACTGGTTGCATTTTTTTTTTTTTTTTATTATTATTATTTATTATTATTTTCAATTTAATAAATAAAGCAAGAACTCGTCGTATAGTTAATTTAGATACAAGACTGTTACTAGAATCAGGTAGTGGTCCCTTTGATTACGAACTTAATTCTTTTTAAAAAAGGCTGTTCAAGTGCTAAACCGAACCTATTTGTTCCATAAGGGAATAATGTAAATTAGATTAGTCCGTTTCAGACCCCTCAAATTACTTACAAAAGCACTTAAAAAAACACACTTATATAATTGGGTTAGTTGAGAGTTGTTCAAAACTCGAGGTACCACTGTACACTTTTTTTTCACCACAAATCATCCTTTCACTGTACTTTTCATAATAAAAATAGTGCATCTTCATTACCAAAAAGATGGTAGTGTCTATTGTTTATACTGTATATAAAGGGGTATACCCATATGGGTCATTCAATGTGAGGACTAGTGGAGCTCGATGCTCCTTGAGTGCATTGCTAAAGTATGTTAGAGCATTTCTTGAAATTTCTGTAATATTTCCTTTTCTATCCCCTAGCTGGCTTAAGACCTTCATTTGAAAATGACGAAAATGAAGATGAAGTCTTAGTGAAGAGGAGTAAAGAAGGTTTATTTAAAGCGTGACTCCAATGGGGAAACAAAATGTGGGTGCAAAGGAGATTGTTCCAAGAAAACCTGTGCGTGTCGAAAGAATACGAATGCTTGTGGCATAAAGTGTAAATGTAAAGTCATAAAGTGCAAAAATAGGACAACTCCAGATAATATATATCAGATGTAAGTATGGGCTCCCTTCAATATTTTTTTTGTTTATAATTCTCTCTTTTCCATAGGGGGCTTGTGGGGGTTGAGCTTTTACTCTTGGCCCCATCTCTTGACTAATTGACATGAATTAACCAAATTTTATCTTTTTTTAAAACTCCTGTATGGAATATGCTTCCACTGTTACTGTTCAGTTCATTCAAACTTTTTTGTCAGCATAGAAATGTAATTTTTTTTTTATGTTCATTTGGGTAATATCAAATTAAGCTCAATTCTGATACAGATCTGTTCAAGGTCCTAACCTTGTCTGTTGTGAAGTAATTTTCATGATTGTAACCTCTGAGTTCTATATATTTTTGGTGATATAAAGCCTATGTCTCTCATTCTTTGGGTAATTCTTTTATAAAAGACGGGATTGTCACCACTAGACCATAAGTTCTCATTAGTGAACCAAAACTAACTTAACATAACTTGGTAAAACTAACAACACTATGTAGCTTAATTGTACACAACCTGTCTTAGGTCATCCTAATTTTTTTTTTATTTCAGGCCAGCAGAGAGATACCTTTTAAATTCTACATTTGACATCACAGCCCTTCCTCTTCAGGGAAAATAATATAAAGAGACCAAGGTGGGATTTGCTAAATATTTATATATAAATGTGCTCAGTTTTGTGTGTGATGCGTCTTGTAAAGAGACTGGAGATACAGTATATCCAAAGATAGGGTGGTTTTGAAAAGGGTGTACAGTGGAACCTCAAAAATCGAACTTAATCCATTTCAGGAGCTAGTTCTAAATTCGAAAAGTCTGAAATTTCAGCAATATTTTTCCCCCAAGAAAAAAATGGAAATACAATTAATCCATTCCCAGAAACCCAAAAATATTCACACAAAAAATACATTTTATAAGAGATTAATTACAGTTTTACATACAACAGATACTATAGTTTTTAATTATATTAGTAATACATATAAAATAACATTTTTACTTATTGAAGATTGGTGATGGGATCTGGAAGATAGAAGGGGGGAGAGAGGGAGTTGGGGTTTAGTGTTTGGAAGGAGAATCCCCCTCCATTGAGGACTTCAGGTAAAGCCCTCTCTGGGTTACTTCCCTTCTGTCTTTTAATGCCCCTAGGGCCAGCTTGAGTCACTGGACCCTCTCACAAAATCTGTCCCCCAGTCCTCTGTTTCTGGCGCCTCTTTAACATTTCCCTTTAAAAAGGGACATGGTTCTGTCACTGAACTTTTTGCAAAGATGGCTTGTTTCAGCTTGCTCAGGGTGGTACTTTTGCACAAACATTTGGACATCATTCCACTTGGCACAAATCTCCTTAATCTTTGAAGAAGGCACCTCATCCACTCCCTATATTAACACCTTTCGCAACATCAGCTTCCTTGATTTGTTCTTTCTTTGACAGGATAGAACCGATGGCTGACTTGTTTTTCCCATACATCCTGGCAAGCTCAACAAGTCTCAAACCACTCTCATACTTCTGTATTATTTCCTTCTTCACATCTATGGTGTTTTTCACTTTCTTTACCACAGGGGTACCACTAGCAAGTTTCTTTGGGCCCATGGCAGCTTATTTCACAATCCCACAAGCACTAAACACAACAAAATAATCGTAAAATGCATGAAGGAGAGCGCAGGTTAGTGTTCGCTCGAGCTTAAACAAAGCTAGACTGCTCACGACACCTACGGGGACGCGGACAGGGCGGGCGGCAGACAGGTCCTGTACCCGGCAGTCCGAAAATAGGGGCGCGTTCGATAATAGGGACACAGTTTGTCCGAAAAAAGGGTCCTATTTTTGAAATGTTCGATATGTGATACGTTCGATTTTTGAGGTTCCACTGTATATTGATCTTTTTTACCATTTAGGAAATGATAGTGAATAAATGTATTAATTTATTCAGTACATGGCACTGATCTTTGTTACTTGCAGGGGTTGTATATGCCAATCACTTCCTGACATTTTCTGCCTTCCACTGGGCAATGAGAAGTGTTTGATAGGAATATGGTATTGGGAATTGCTAACTTTAATTAAAAATTTTTGCTCTACCTGTTTCTCCCTCTGGTGCCTAAACTATGCACCTTGGTGAATTTCTTGATTAGACTAGCCATTAAGTATGAATTATAATAACTATTTAGGCCATGATTTGTTTTCTGGAAAACTGGTTTTCTTCAAGCTGTATGGTCATACCCCACTTAATGTCATTTCAGTTTGCGTCAAATTTGTCTTTATGCCACTTTTGTAGAGTAAATTTCAGCTTGGCAAAGGCCATTACATCCTAGGTACGTCACTTAGCAATGTCATCTCTGCCACAATGAAAGGACATGAAATAAATTTTTCCGTAAAAATATATTTAAAATAAAACATACAAATTAGCAATAAAAGATAAAGGAAGCTATAAACCAAATTTCAAATAAAATAAAAACATTTAAAACATAAAAATTTTTTACATATACATAGAGATTGGTGGATGAATTTGGTAGGGTGTGCAAAAGAAGAAAATTAAAGGTGAATACAGGAAAGAGTAAGGTTATGAGGATAACAAAAAGATTAGGTGATGAAAGATTGAATATCAGATTGGAGGGAGAGAGTATGGAGGAGGTGAATGTATTCAGATATTTGGGAGTGGACGTGTCAGTGGATGGGTCTATGAAAGATGAGGTGAATCATAGAATTGATGAGGGGAAAAGAGTGAGTGGTGCACTTAGGAGTCTGTGGAGACAAAGAACTTTGTCCTTGGAGGCAAAGAGGGGAATGTATGAGAGTATAGTTTTACCAACGCTCTTATATGGGTGTGAAGCATGGGTGATGAATGTTGCAGCGAGGAGAAGGCTGGAGGCAGTGGAGATGTCATGTCTGAGGGCAATGTGTGGTGTGAATATAATGCAGAGAATTCGTAGTTTGGAAGTTAGGAGTAGGTGCGGGATTACCAAAACTGTTGTCCAGAGGGCTGAGGAAGGGCTGTTGAGGTGGTTCGGACATGTAGAGAGAATGGAGCGAAACAGAATGACTTCAAGAGTGTATCAGTCTGTAGTGGAAGGAAGGCAGGGTAGGGGTCGGCCTAGGAAAGGTTGGAGGGAGGGGGTAAAGGAGGTTTTGTGTGCGAGGGCTTGGACTTCCAGCAGGCATGCGTGAGCGTGTTTGATAGGAGTGAATGGAGACAAATGGTTTTTAATACTTGACGTGCTGTTGGAGTGTGAGCAAAGTAACATTTATGAAGGGATTCAGGGAAACCGGCAGGCCGGACTTGAGTCCTGGAGATGGGAAGTACAGTGCCTGCACCCTGAAGGAGGGGTGTTAATGTTGCAGTTTAAAAACTGTAGTGTAAAGCACCCTTCTGGCAAGACAGTGATGGAGTGAATGATGTGAAAGTTTTTCTTTTTCGGGCCACCCTGCCTTGGTGGGAATCGGCCAGTGTGATAATAAAAAAATATACATACAATAAAATATTTACATTGATAAATTGTAAATAAATGTCCATCGGTACTTAGTTCTGCCATCTTGTTGCATTGCTGCTTGTTCTCATTCAAAACGAGGGCGATACCATATTCATTTTTGCCCATGCTTCAATCGTGTGCTTGTTTTGCCTTTTGCTGTTATTTTTGTGATTATTTCATTACCATGTTTGTGATAGTCATGGGTCCTAAGAAAGATAGTGCTAGTGATTCCAAGCGTAATGTGGTTACGATGAAAGATAAGTTGAACATGATTAAAAGGTGTGTAACGGATGAGTGTGTT